AAATACTGTGTTTTGAAGCCATTTTTCTTGTCAAGTAGGTAGAGTGGATGGAACCATTCTAACAGTGAGTGATAGAGTCCATAGTGCATGTTCCTTAAACAGAAAAACAGGACAGCAACTGTCATCGAGCAAAGAAAAAATCATTTAAGAAAAATCAGTGGCAGCATTTTTTCAACTCAGTGAAACTTACATGAAAGTATGTACAAAGGGGTGGGACCCCAAACCATTTCCTTAGATACCTCTTATTACTCACTTAAGCAAAATGGTTGTGTTTATTATGTTTTTGGTAACATACATAATTACTTTTTATACGTGAATATCATGACATCAAATGTCATTTAAACCATCTTTTATCTTTTAAGTCAATTATCTCAGGAATGACATACTGTCTTATTAAAAAAAAGTTTTCTGTCAATCGTAAGAATAGACATTGTAGAATGCTCATGTGAAACCTTCATAAGAGTGTACATGAATGATACCACCTTAATATAAAAAAAACAGGAAAAAAAAGAATACACACTGTAGAGATATTGGAAAATAGGGAAAAGTATAAAGAATAAAATATCCAAAATCTTATCACTCAGAAATAATCATTAGTAACATTTTCTCCATTGTTAAATTAATGAATATAGGTTTGTTTCACTTATCTAAGATTTACTAATAGTTCTTAACATACTTGAAATGAAAAATGGCTAAAGTGTTTATTTTCATAGACAATAAAGCTTGTTTTGAATTATGAATGGTGAGTGTTACAGAAACACTGTAATGTACATAAAAAGTAAGGATAACATTTCAATGCTACAGATAAAGTAGAAAGAATTGAAGTATTTCATCATATGATTCAGGGACTAAATAGATAAAACGAAGGTAAAAATCACAGGTGGTGAAGTCCAGATCTAATCAACATCTTAGAATTTTACAGCAGGACTTAGCAAAGCAAATCACTGGGAAACTGAATACTGAACAACAGGTGACAGGAGTCAGCAAATGATTTCTTAATGGACTGGATAGAATTTTAGGCTTTGCAGGCCTTGTGTTCTCTATCCTAACTCTGAAATTGTAGCCTGAAAGCAGCCATTGACAACACATAAATGAATGGGCATAGCTGTGTTCCAATCAAACTTTATTTGCATAGAGAGGCCACTGGCCAACCCCTTAAGTAGGACATCAAGTTTTAACAAATCACAACAGAGCTGAAATTAGGCATGGCATAAATACCACTTTTCTTTTTTATAGTAAACATACCCAGGACTGTATGGTCTAAAACCAGGATACCTGGGTTCAAATCCCACCTCTACCACTTCCTAGCTCTTTGATCCTGGCAAGTTACTTCTTACTAAGAGGTAAATATTAGGGAACATTAATTAGAATCAACTGAGCGGCTCCTTACCTCACTTTTTGCTGCTTTAATTGCCCTTTTTGGTTCCCTCTTGATCTACCTTTCATCCAAACTTTCCCTGAGCAATTGCAAAGCTCTGTGTTGAAAACTATGGGGCACAAAAGTTAAGAGACTCAGCCCCTGGCCTCCATCAGACACTGGAAAAGGCCCTGGATTGGAAGGCTTTCTAGAAATAATCCTTCACAGGGTCAAATGGGGCACTGTGGTCTCTGTTGACCACAACCAGAGAGGGATATGAACTTCTCTGATGGTGTCACCCTGGGTCACAAGAAAACTGCCAAGCATTAAATGCTGCTAATTTAAAGGCTAGACTCCTTCAGGTTACTTAGAAATGCAGACGTACAAAACACAGGAATAGAGAAGGTATGATAAATCAGAAGAGATGGTAGAGTAACTGTCTGTAGACACGTACCTCTTCCGGATAGCTTTTCCCAACTCGCCAACCAAATCACGATGGGGCCCCAGATCCATAGAGTTCCAATTCCAAGATACAGGACTGGGCCAGTTTGTGAAGCCTTCATGGTGCTTTGCTGTCAGGACTACATACCTGTGGACACCAAAGTCACATGAGCAAAGGAAGTAGTAGTGGGTGGGCTGTGATATAATGAATCATAAGAAATACATATATTTGGTCATTTATATGACCAAATATACATATTTCCCAGGTATATTTGGCCTTCTTCCACAGTTTCTGAAAACACTGCAGAGTCTTAAACTGAAATGGGTGTTTTGTCATGTTAACGACAGACTTTTGGACCCCCACCGGCTGGAGGTTGGATCAGCCAATAGCCAATAATTAGTCAATGATGACTATGCAGTGAAGCCCTCACAAACACCCTCAAGAGCTTACCTCTCTGCTCAGTTGCTGTCCTGCTTCTCTGTCAGAGAGAGCTATGCTCGGGGAACCAGAACGCCTCCACATGCCACTGAACCAGGCCCACGCTCCACACGGAGAGAAGCTCCTTTATCTGGAACCAGTGTCTCTCTTCATCTGGCTGTTAACTTGTATTCTTTATAGAATTCTTTATTAAACTGGTAAATGTATTTTCCTGAGTTCTGTGAGCCGCTCTAGCAAATTAAGAGAACCTAAGGGGGGAGGTCATGGGAAGCTCCAATCTGTAGCACAGGGACTGCCTGGGCTTGTGACTGGGTCTGGAGTAGCGGGTGGAGGGCAGTCTTGTAGGATGGAGCCCTTAATAAGGTTTGGTGCTGTCTCCAGGCAGACAGCATCAGAATTGAGTTGAGTTTTCCAACATCTTGCTGGTGTTTGAGAAGTGCTTGGTGTATGAATGTGTGGGAAGACCCCCTCCCACATATTTACACACACTGGAATTGGGTCCGGGTACACAAATGAAGTTATATTACTATTACTGCTGTGTATAATACTGTTACTGTTAAACATATATGTAGGAAAAAATACACCATTGCATTTGGTGTTGGACGAGTGGGAATCGCAGGGCTATAAGCATGAACTTACCCAGCATACGTTAAGGCTTTTAAAATGGTTGGGAGAACTTGACTACAGGAAATGTACTTATATAAATGGGTGAAACAACGGTCAAATCACTCAACATTTCATTTGCTTTTATGGCAGAAAAATAGGCAATGCCTACACGTGATCATTTAATCACTAGCTGGTGTGGAGCTCCAAGACTTTAAGGGCCAGACAGTATTTCAGGTGTTTGGGCCACATTCTTCTCTGTGGCATATTTTTCTCTTACTTAAAACATTTCTGTTTTTTTAAACAATCCTTTGAAAATGTAAAAATCATGCTCAGGGAATTTACAAACACAGGCATAGGACAAATTCCTAAGGCCATGGTTTGCAGACCCCTGGTGCGGTGTAAAGGACCTTCTCTTTGGAGTCACGAGTTTGCAGTCTAGGATGTTAGTTCCCTTCCGCTATCTGGGCCAGTCATCCATACAGTAATGGGTCTGGATGAAGGGCACCTCCCAGATTTTAATTTTTGTCATTTGTAAATTACAGGTTTCTAAGGCTCCTATAAGATAGTGAACACCACCTCTCTTTAGACAAGCCTTAGAATCCCTTACATTTATTGGCAAACACTGAATGTCAGTTGTAATTTCTCTTTAGTACAGGAGAACTTTAAAAGTCCAAGAGAAACTAAAACCCGGAAAGACAACTGAGGAGACCTCATGAGGGTGGAACACTGCTCTAAGCCAGTAGTGGAGAAACCTCCCTGCCGCCATTCTGACTCTCTTCCAACCCCCTTCCCTCCCAGCAGGCAAACTGATTTTCTAGAAGCTGAGGGTAACCATTCGCTGACTCAACACCTGGCAACATACTGCCCTCAAGGATTAGTGCCTTCAGGATGGGCTGCAGCCTTCAGCAACCTCATGGAGCCTTGCCTCGCTCTCCCCCAACCCAAGGCTCTACACCTAAGGTTCTCTGAATACTTCACACACAGGCTACGACAGTTCTCAGAACAACTCAAACATTTCTTGAGCACTTCTTATGTGCGGTTCATCAAGAGCAGATGAATGCGAATCTGTACTGTTGCCCAAACACACTGCACACCAGAATTCCCTTCCCTCCTAGAAATATTAAAGCTGAAAGGAACTAATACAATTACTTTCTACAACCATTGAAGGAGGCTGAAGGGCAGTGAAACGCCTTGTTCAAGTTCAGTTGATATAAGACCAGACTCTATACCACTGGCTTAAAATCCTGGAATACTGATGGTCTTGCTGACTGGGAAGGGGCATTAGGTATTACCTCGCTCAGTTCCCTCAATATGCATTTCTGGACACTGAAGGCTTTTCAGCCCACCACCTCCCTGAAACCTTTATTTTCTTCGAATCCCCAACCAGATGCACCTTCTCATGATCAGACGTGCCACACTCAGTTCTGCCTCCTTCAGCAGTCAATACCCAGGTCCCAGGGCTTTATCTTAATTAAGTCTGACGGCCGGCTGTGTGAGCCTGGGCAAGTCGCCTCCTCCAATCCCCTCCCCACTCCGCGCTTGTTTCCCACGTGCCCACCCCCCTCTCGGGGCTCGGTCAGCAGAGCCGCCGAAGGGGAGCCGTGCCCGTCCTCGCGACGACACTCACTTGGCCCCGGCTCTCTGGAAGAGGTCCGCCCACGCCTCGGGTTCGAAAAAGCGCGCCGTGAACTGCGGCCCGAAGTCGGCGTAGGTAAAGTTGGGGGCGTAGTTGTCCTCCATGAATTTTTGGTATTGCGGCTGCAGCATACCCTTCCAGTTCCACCAGAACCACTCGCTGCCCCAGGCCGGCACCGAGAACACGCCCCAGTGTATGAATATCCCAAACTTGGCTTGGTCGAACCATTCAGGCAGCGGCCGGGAGTCCAGACTCGGCCAGTCCGGGGTGTACCGGCACCCGACCGCCCCGAGCCCCAGCAGCCCCAGCAGCGGGATCAGGGAGCCCAGCTCCCGCAGCCTCCTCTCGGTGGCAGGCATCGCTGCCTCGGCGCCACTACCTCCCTCTCTTACGCGCAGGGAGGTGCGCGGCCACGCCCATCCTGGCTAATGATTGGCTCGTAAGGAAAAAGGGCGTGCTAACGCAGGCCCCCTTGGGTTGAGTCTGAAACTTTTCCGGGTCAGCAGTCCCTGTCCCTCTGGCGCTCAAAGGGAGAAAGATGTAAGGATCGTTGCGCTCTGCTGACCGTGGAATGAAAACTTGAGAAGGGCTTTCACTGCTGGGTTAAATCGTATCCGGGTGTGGAAGGCCAGCTTTGTGCAGAGAACTGGGAGTAGTCCATTTGCCGTTGTGGTCACAGGGTACTTTTTTCCTTTTATTAAATTTAAATACAGTTGGCATACAATATTATATTAGTTTCATATTTACATAGTAGTGATTCTACAATTATATACATTATGAAATGGTCACTGTGACGAGTATAGTTACTGTCAACATACCAAGAGATAACATTATTATTGGCTATATTCTCTATGCTGCCTTTCATCCCCGTGACTCAATTTTCTGTAATTTGAAGTTTGTGCCTCTTTAACTCCTTTACTATTCATATTTTACCCATCCCTCCACCTTCTCTCCTGTGGCAATCACCAGTCCCTTCTCTGTGTTTGAGTCTATTTCTATTTTGTTAGTTTGTTTTAGATTCCACGTGTAAGTGAAATCATGTGGTATTTGTCTTTTTCTATCTAATTTCACTTAGCATAAAACCCTCTTGGTCCATCCATGTTGTCACAAATGCCAAGATTTCATTCTTTTTTATGGCTGAGTAATATTCCATAATGTATATATACCACATCTTCTTTATCCATTCATCCATTGATGGTTGATGATGGTTAGGTTGCTTCCATATCTTGACTATTGTAAGTAATGAGGCAATAAACATAGGGGTGCATAGATCTTTTTGAATTAGTGACATTGTTTTCTTCTGGGAAATTTCCAGAAGTAGGATTACTGGGTCTTATGGTATTTCTATTTTGTTTTTTTGTGAAACCTCCATACTGCTTTCCATAGTGGCTGCACCAGTTTTCATCCCTTTTCTCCACCACCTCACCAACACTTGTTGTTTCTTGTTTTTTCTTGATATTAGTCATTCTGACTGGTGTGAGGTGATGTCTTATTGTGATTTTATTTGCATTTCCCTGATGATTAGTAATGTTGAACATCTTTACATGTGTCTGTTGGCTATCTGTATGTCTTCTTCTGAAAAATGTTTTAAAGTGGATTATTTGCCTTTTTTTTTGGGTATTGAGTTGTATGAGTTCTTCATAAAATTTGGGATATTAGCCCTTTACTGGATATATCATTTGCAAGTATCTTTTCCCATTCAGTAGACTGCCATTTTGTTTGGTTGATGGTTTCCTTTGCTGTACTTTATTTTGCTCTTGTGTCCCTTGCCTGGGGAGACATATCCAAAAAAAATTACTAGTGCTGATATTCAAGAGGTTCCTGCCTCTATTTTCTTCTAAGAGTTTTGTGGTTTCAGGTCCCATATTTAGGTCTTTAATCCATTTTGAGTTTATTTTTGTGTATGGTACAAGACAGTGATCCAAATTCATTCTGCAGGTAGTTGTCCAGTTTTCCCAACAGCATTTATTGAAGAGGCTGTTTTTTCCCCCAGGGAACTTTTGAACTGTAATATAGAAGAGCAAGAGCCTGGAGGCAGGAAGACCAGGCGGAAAGGCACCGTCACAGCCCTGGCAGAACTGGTGGGGTAGAGCGACGATGGGAGGAAGCATTGTGAGGGGAGAAGTGGGGAGCAGATGGTGCTGCAAGAGGAAGAGCAGGTGTGGCCATGCCACCTGTCTGATATTTACTGTACGTGCTTTGGGAATTCTGAGGCAATTTAAAGAGCTTAACGTCTAATGGGAAAAAAGAAGACCCAGGTACAGGTCCCCATGAAGGAACATCTTTGGAGTAGCAGGGTGAGAACATTGAGAGCCCCAAGCCCAAGGGGGGCCTGTGTGAGCCTTGTCTGGCAGGGAGGTCACCAGCTCCTCTACAGTTTGTACATGCTGTGCCTGCTCAAGCAGGAGGTGAGGCCATCAGATGTAGGAAGTCTAAAGACCCCACGAAGCACAGCCGATTCCCATACCTTAGTGAGAGAACTGCAGTATGTCAGATTTGGAGAGACTTTGGAGTTCCTTGACATTCTCCCCTTCCCTACTCTTCCCATTTTACAGAGGAGGAAACTGAGGCCCAGAGAGGAGATTGGAGTTGCACAAGACCATGCAACTAGTTTGGGTCAGAGGAGGAGCCCAGGTCTTCAGGTGTAGAACCTATGCTTCTTAACAGGCTGCTTCTCTCTTGCAACCTGGGAGGGTCACAGCCTGTGTTGACAGAGTCGAGCAGTTCCTCATTCTGGAGTGATAAAGAAACAATGATAATTTTGAATGAACAGCCATTTTCCTTATTGTCTGTGTTCTTTCTCTGCAAGATTAAGTTGAAATATTGTCCAAAGCAGTAAGCATCTTAAAAAAACCCATTCACATCTAATGACCAGAGTGAGTAACTGTCTTTGATGTTACAGAACTCATCTTAGGGAAGACAAAATGGGACACTGAGACCTTTGATTCTCCTTAGCTTCATAACAAAATGTATGTCTGCATGGACAAGTAAGAGGCATTACAACAGAGTGGGCAAAACTAGAAGTTGGGAAATCTGGGTTTCTTGCACTGGACACCACCTTTGGGTCTCCTCAGCAAGTCTTGTCCACTGTCTGGATCCATTTCCTCATCTAAACAATGAGGGAAGTTCTCCATCATATCCAGGGACCCTTTCCCCCAGTTTCTCTCCCTCTCCATAAACTCCAGGTCTTTACTTAAAGCAGAACTAGAGTGTGCTTGTGGAAGGAAAGAGGCAGAAAGTGTGGAAATGCATTTAATTCAATGATTTTATGCTCTAAGTTTATTCTATTTACTGAGTGTCAATTTATCTCAGGCACTTGGGCATTTTCTTTGCTAAAATGAGAAAAAAAAAAAAACCCACCAATGAATAAAGAAAATCATGTCCCAACCTAAGGAACTGAGGTAGGGCAGAGACATGGGATAAGCATCATGATTAATTTCCCAAAAAAGCCGAGATATAAATGGCATAGTAAGAACAGGAGAGACTCCATCTTAAAGCCAAGATCCCATTTTAAAAAGCAGAGTGTTGAGAAGTAAGATTCCTAACATATTCTTTAGTAATCAGCTAATAGTTACCTTACAGCAGCACAAGCCTAAATGATATGTCCCCTGCTTGAGGGTAACCACTATCTTGGTGAGGACTAAGATCAATAAATTCCTTGGGTTAAGTTTATCCTACAGAATTATCTAGAGAACTGACTGTGAATGAAGACACAGTATCCTTCACTGGAGAGAGATATCATGAGACCATAAGCCAAGCCGAAGCCCAACAAACCCCCCTCTGTCCTTTGCCCCATTCTTGAAAGCCTTAAAAGACAGAATCCCCAGCCTTTCAGTGCACTTCATCTCTAAGGTTGCCCGCACTCCCCTTGAAGTGTGTACTCCTAAATAAAGCCTTCACACTGCTCAACTTACTGCGTTGTCTCTTTGCTCTCACAGTGGCGCGTGCCTTTGTTGTCTCTTTGCCATTTTATTTTATTTCCAAGTCTTCACTGTGTCTGTGTTTTACTCCTGATAAATATGGAGGAGCTGCTGAGAGCTCTGATTTGGGCCTGTAAGTTCCCGTGGCCTGGGTGACGCAGACAGAACTGCAGCTGTACGATCTGCCTTTAGCAGCCTGCCTGAAAATCTCCTTTCTTTGGGAAGTTCTCAGAAAGAACATAATCTCACTCCATCCTGTGCCCCGCGGCTCCCCCAAACCCTGGGGTGGTAGGGGCTCAGTCATCATGCTGTGCAGATCCAAGTGGATACAGGACACAGGGTCACCCTGGCTTTAGGACTTGGCAAGGAAATCTGCCCTAGGCCGAGAAGGAATTCAACAAACTTGCCCTCCATCCCTCTGTATCTCCCTGTTCTCAGCCACCTAGAGGGCAGCTGCCACTCCCTACTACCTACTCTTGCTTTAATGAATTCCTTCCTCACCTGTATTTGTCTGACCTGTTTGAAAATTCTTTCTAGTCCAGAGTCAAGAACCCCGTCCAGGTGAGGTTTCTCCTAGTGCTTCACCTAGGGAGCAGGGAGAGACCTCCCCAGACGCAGCTGCCTGGCAACAGAACCCCAAATTCACCTTTAAAAAATCATGCCATTTCTTTCCTGACAAAAAAGATAGGTGTCTGGGTTAAAGTAAAATTCAATTTTCCAAAACGCAGTTCAAAGCTTTTCAGAAGCAGTTCAGGTCCACAGATATTGACTGGTCCCCAGACGACTGTATGCTGCGTCCTCATGGGACCCTGGCATCCGGAGGTGAACATGGAGCTCACTCCATGGGGGAAGACAGGCCAGTGACGGCCACTAACACAGTTCATGATATGGGCTGTAATAGGGGCGGGGACTTTGTCCTTGGGGGCTCTGCTGGGTTGAATAGTGTCCTCCAAAACTTCATGTCCGCTCAGAACCTGTGAATGCTACCTTAGTTACTAGGAAATAGTCATTGTAGATGTAATTTATTACAGTAAGGTGAGGTCATACTGGATTAGGGTGTGCTTTAATCCAATGACTGGTGTCCTTAAAAGAAGACACCAATAAGCAAAGGTGGGGAAGGCCATGTGAAGATGGAGGCAGAGATTGGAGTTTTGTTACCACAAGCCAAACACAGAAGCTACCAGAAGCTGGAAGAGGCAAAAAAGGATCTTCCCCCCTTGAAACTTTGGAGGGAGCATGGCCCTGTCAGCGCCTTGATTTTGTACTTCTAGCCTCTGGAACTGTGAAAGAATAAACTTATGCTTTTTTTTAGCCTCTCAGTTTGTGGAAAATTGTTACAGGAAATTAATACAAAGCATAAAATGAAGTACATCAAGAAATAATAATGAGTTAAAAGTTGCAGGAATCAAATGTTTCAGAAGCCTAATATCACTCCTAATCAAGCCTGATTTGACTGAAGAAGGCCAACAGGTTAGCGGTGAAGAGGGCAGGCTTTGAAGTCAACAAAACTGGACTGGCAACCCAGCTTTGGTTGTATTAGCAGTATGGCCCCAGGCAAGTGGTTTTGCCTCTTAGAAGTTTCCTTATCTGTAAAATGAGGATACCAAGACTCTCTTCAGCAGGTTTTTGTGAAGACTAAGTGAATCACCTCATTGAAAAGCACTTAGCCCAGTGCCTGGCACATAGTGAAGACTCCGTAAAAGCCAGCAGGCATTATGGCCAGAGGACACAGCGGGTTTTCTCTCTGCCTCACTCAGTCCCTACCCCATGACCCTGACGATCTCCTGACTTGTACCACCAGTAATTATCTTCTTTATTTACTTATTGGCTTTCTTCCCACCGTAATGTAGAATGTATGTCCCATTAGACAGCAGTAGTTTTGTTTATGGCTGGGTATCAGGGATGCATCACAGAACCTGACACATATTTGTGAGATGGGTGGATGAATGAATGAACAGTGGATACCTTGTCATTAAATGAAGGCATGTCTAATAAATATTTTTCTTTTTCTTCTGCCTGTGTCCTGAATAATAACATTAGAATTCCTCTGCAATCCTCCCCCCCACCACCAATTTCTCTTGTCTACTGTTTTAAGTCCCTCTGGTAGGAATCCAGCCTCCCTGATGTGTAAAATGTGGATGTTTCCTGGAATCTGGAAAAGCGTGGGGCTGTATTCTTGCTGGAGATAGTGGACTGCGGACTGTGGGCTATGGGCTGTCAGCCTTGTGCCTAGCACATGGTAAGGGAGTTTCCCTCTCCCCACTCGCTCTGCTTATTATTCATTATAGGGGTGTGAAGAAGACAGTGGGGCTGAATTGAGGGGCACCTGGGAGGAATTTGGAGATTTGTGAAGTATATCCCCCCCTTTCTGGAGTTGGCTTAGGCTGGCACTTTGCTTGCTTCCTGTGGTGCCACCAAATAGGATGTCATAGGATCAGTAAAATTCTCTGAAGGTTTTGTGTCTCAAGTGATCCCAGCCTCTTCTATATTCCCCAGGGACCTAGGAGGTCACAGTGGCAGTGAGTGGGGATGATCAGGGTGTCAGGGAGAGCCACTGCCCTAATAACAAGGTATCCTGAGCTGGCGGGGTAGGGGGGCTGGTTATCAATTACCTCAGAAAAAGGCAGACCAAAACCCTTGAGCCTCATCTCATCATAGTTCTTGGTCCTCCATGGGAAAGGGTGACCTGAAGGTGGGGCCTCTCATAGCTCCGGAAGCAGGGAGGTCCCAGCAATTAAGCAGGAACAAGGGCTGGCCAGCTATCCCATCCGATACCCTTGGATTCCAGGAGAATAATCCATTCTCCTTCTCAGATGTTGAGTCCCTCAGTGCTGTTGCTGAAGGCTCCATCTGGCTCCTGTGGTCCCTGGAGGATGCAGGCACTAAGCCATCTTGTGGGGAAGGTTGTCCTAACCTGACAGGCTATGAGCCTGTCCCAGCCTCTTTCTTCCTGCCTACCTGGCCACTCCAAGCTATCCCGCAAACTGTGCAGGGAGGCATGGCCAGGCTATGCTCCAGAGTTCAGTGCCAACACTCATCAACAAAATGGGGTAAGTGTCCAGGCCCCCTGAGGCTGGTTCAGGTAAGATTGGACGGTCAAGACCACTCTCTTTTCTCTAGGGAGTGAAATGACTTCTGACTTTGCTTGTTTAAAACTGTGAAAGAGGCCTCATCAGCAATCAGAGCAGTATAGACCTCTGGAATCTGGTCACTGGGTGATTTTCACATCAGCCTCTGTCTCAGTGACTGAGGACTTCGGGACCTCTTCTTTTCCCTCGGGCCCAGGGCCCCTCAGGTGCCTCCTCCAGCGGGCCAGGCAGTGGTAGGCAGAGGAGCGGATCTCCCCACTCCGAAGGGCATAGATGACAGGGTTGGCCATGGAATTAACAAGGCAGAGCATGGAGAAGAAGGCAAAGACCTTCCTGACCTGGTCGCTTAGAGTGGTGACCAGGCTGTAGACCATGAGGGCCAGTACTGGAAACCAGCATATGCAGAGCACAGCCAGCAGCATGCCCAGGGTCTTAGCCAACTTCACATCCAGCCTCATCCGGGCCATTCCTGGCACCTGCCTGTCCTGGTGCTCGGCCAAGCTGGCTACATGCTGATAAGCCTTCCAGAGGACATGCCCATAGGTGTAGATGATACCAGAGAAGAGGAAGGCAATGAACAGGAGCCAGCTCAGCAGATAGTCATTGGGGATCAGGGGGAAAAGCTCAGAGCAGGGACTGGGACAACAAGTCCATCCCATGAGGGGCAGGTAGGAGACCAATGCTGAGAGGACCCACATGATGCCCAGGGTCACCAGTGCCCTCCCACGGGTGAGTAGGGCTTTGTATTTAGGTGGGTAGCGCAGACAGAGGTAGCGGTCAATGGCGGTCAGCAGCAGGCTGCCTACAGAGGCTGTGAAGGTCATGGTCACGCTGCAGATCTTCAGCAGGAAGACAGCGTCAGAATCCACACCTTGGAAGACATGAAAATTTACAAAGCTGCAGGCAAAGACCACACTGGCCAGGAAGTCAGCCACAGCCAAACTGCCAATGAACAGGTATGAGGGCCTCCTGCGGAGCCGGTGGGAGGACAGGATCAGGTAGAGCACAGCCAGGTTCTCCAGGGCACTTAGCAGGCCCAAAGGTGTGCACAGCACTGCGACAGCTATCTTTTGCGAACTGCTCAGGATCATGTAGTGCTTCATGCGGTTGGAATCCAAGCCATCCTTGGAGCCATTGGCTGCCTCCATCAGGCATCTCTCCATGGGGTGGGTTCCTTTGCTTCTGCTGGGCTTTCCCAGAAGCCTTTGCTCTAGTACAATGAGAAGAAGAAAGGGGTCTTTCTCAATTAGTGCAATGACTGCCACAATTTTGCCGACTTTAGACAACCCCTTTACCTGTGTGGATGGATCATATGTTGAAATAGCAATTCACGTCTGTTTTTTTTATATTTTGCCCTCTGGCGCTCAGTCTGTGCTGGTTGCTTTAGGGGAGATATGTGGGAATTCAAGAGGCAGAAGTAACCTGCAAAGCTTTTGGCCTTTTGTTTTCAAAAAGGCTAATCCTGAGGCTTCCCTTTGAAAGTAAGGGAAATCTCCAAAGGTCAAAAACAGAGAAAATTCAAACCAAGAAAAAAAAAGGAATCCAGAGTGATAAGGTGAAGGGATTTTTTCTGCATTGATACTTTATTTGCCAGTTTTGGTAAGTAAGATGCTGAAGTTTCAACAACATTTTAGGGATGGGAGACAAGGCTTTCGCCTCACACCAGTAGAGTTGCCAGATAAAATATAGGGGTCCTAATAAATTTGAGTTGACAGATAATGAATCATTTTTTTAAGTATAACTGTGTCCTAAATATCAAGAACAATAAACAAAAAAACAAACCCAAACCAGAACACTTAAATATTGTATGGGACATTATTAGATACTTTTAGAAAGCAAACTCCAAATTTCTTTAGAGGGATATGCTTTTCTATCCAGGTTGCACAAGATTCCCACATATAAAGGCCCATAGAATTTGAGCTCACAATGCAAAATTACAAAATGCATAATGAAATGTGAACAAGAATTAGCAGAAATGTCAGATGGTAGAATTAGATTTCCAAGAACTTAATGTAATTCTTGGGTATACATATAAAAATATGTTTAATATGATTAAACAATAAAGAATAAAAAATGTGAGTACATAATTAGAGACCGCCTAGCCAGATTTGAAAAAGAATCAAGTAGAATTTCTGGGAATGAAAAAGTCATTGAAAAAAGAAACCCTTATAAGTAGGCTAAAGAAGCGAACAGAATAGTTGGAAAGCATCAGTCTAGAAGGCAGATCTGAAGAAATTTCATAAATGCAATGCAAGGAGATAGAGATGGGGAGTATAAAAGAGAGGTTAAGAGACATGGAGGACTAAATGAAAAGGTTAAAGGTATATCAAATTGGAGTTTCAGAAGGTAAGAACAGAATTTATGGTGGGCATTGGGGAGACAATATTCAGAGATAAGAGTGGAGAATTTTACAGAATTTATACCTCAGATTCAGAAATCACAGTGAACCACAAGCAGAATTTTAAAGACAAACTAATTCCACATTCACATATATCATAATGAAACTCTAAAACACCAAAGACAAACAGAAAAAAAATAAAAGTAATCAGAAAGAAAAGATACAATACCAGCAAAGGAATCCTAACTAAATTTAAAAGAAGATTTCCCAATAGCAACAAGAGTAGCCAGAAGATAGAGAGGAAAAAAGCTAAATCATCACTCGAAATAAGAATATTTTTGAGAATTGCCCACTAACAGACCTTTACTGAAGGAACAGCTAAAGGATATGCCTTCAGAAAAAGGAAATTCTTCATAGAGGGAGGAATAGAAAGGCAAGTAGGAATTGTGAACAAATACATTGATTAACGTTATGAATAAAGAAAAACATATGGCTGTATAAAGCAATAATACCAACAATAATAATAGCTGACTTGGAAGGTAGAAAAACAAAGTGGAAGTAAAACTGTGAATGACAGTAACATAAGTTAAGAGAGAGATGAACAGAGTTGAAACTGCTTAGGAAGTGAGTAAAGGCATTGGTCCAATTTAGACTTAAAATCAGGCATCATCATATCTTACCTGGTTTACCTCAAGAGCTTCCTAACTGGGTTCCATGCTTCTAATCAGGCCCATCTTTAGTCTAATGTCAACACAACAGCCAGAGAGATCCTTTAAAACTATGTCAGATCCTGCGACTCTCTGTCCCAAACCCTGCATTCCATTCGGTGTAAAAGCCTGAGTATTTACAGCAGCCTAGAAAGTTCTGTGTTCTGGCCCCATTACTTCTCTGACCTCCCTAAGACTGTGCTTTCCTTGGTGAAGCAGCATTAGCCCTGCTGGCCTCCTGATGGGTCCAACCTCCTGCTGCAGGGCCTGTGCCCTGGCTGTTTCTTCTACCTGAACACTCTTTCCACAGATAAATGCTTGGCTCAGGCTCTTAACCTTCAAGTCTTGGCTCAAATTTTACCTCTTCATTGACATCTGACCCACCATCCTATTTAATACTGTAACTCATCCCACCTTCCTGCCCTGCTAGTCTCCCTTACTCTTACCTATTTAAAATTTTTTTCCAAATATCACCTCCTAACATATAATTTACTCTATATAGCTTACCTATTTATTATGTTTTATTGTTGATTATCTGTTTGTTCCACTAGAATTTAAGTTCCATGAGGTCAAGAAACTATTTTCTTTGTTGACATAAGGGCTTAGAACAGTATCTGGTGCATAATAGATCCTCAACAAATATTTGGGGAATCGAATTGAAATGAAATTAAAGAGTGAGCGATTTTAGAATTCTTTTCTCAGAAGTTGATAGATTAAGCAGACATTCTAGTCAATAGAATGTATAAGATTTGAACATGAAATTAACAAGCTTGATTTATGTCATATATGGAATTCAACATCCAGTAATTGGAAAATATACATAATTTTCATGCAAATGTGGACATTTACGAAAACTGGCTAAGTCTTAGGCAAAAAGTAAATTCTACAAATTTCAAATAATCTGTAACATACAAACCATATACTCTGACCACAGTGCAATTTGTTTAGAAACCAAGAACCTAAAAATACATGGCTAACAAACTTCATAGATATGAGTATTTAAAAACACACTTCTGAATAATTCTTGGGTCAAGAAATAATAAAGGAAATGAGAAAAACATTAAGATTTGTAGCATAGTAAAATTCATGGGATGCATGTGGGTGGTACTGAAAAGGAGATTCAAAGCCCTACATGATCACTTTAGAAAAGAAAAAAGACTAATGCCCTAAACATCCAATTTATGAAGTAGAAAAAAAAACAACAGCATAAGTAAAAGAAGGCAGAATAAACATAAACAGAATAAATAAATAAAGCAGAAGACAGAAATAATAAGAGCAGACATTAATGACATGGGAAAGCAATAGAGAAGATAAAGAAATGACAGAGACAGAGGCTAGTTCTTTGAAAAGATAATAAAATAGATAAGCCTCAGGCGAGATTATTTAAGAAAACAAGTGGGGAATCCACTAATAAGTAGACTAGCAAGAATGAAAGAGAGATGGTCAATAATCCTTTCAGAAGATGTTTAACCTCAAAGGTATCACAGAAGTGAAAGTTTCACTCCCAATAGGTTGGCATAAAATTCAATCTGACAACATCCAGTGTTGGAGATGGTGTGGAGCGACGGTACCATTCAGCGCTGTGATGGGATGTGAGTTGGCGCAACGACTTTGGAGAGGAGTTTGGCAAAATCTAGTGAAATTGACTGAGATAAATTGTCTGAGATGAGAGGAAAGATGTGCACTTCTATATGGACATTTCCAATGTATCCTTTAGATTTTTTTAAAAAACATTATACATTAAAACACTAGTTGCTATTGAAAAATTTGTAAGTAGGTGTATCAGTATTTGTACAAAGTTTAAATATTGTATTTACATCCCAAACAGGATGTTTTATAATTTTTTGGCACTCATTTAAATTTTGAGCCCATGTTAAGTGCCTCCCTCTCACCCCACCTGTGGTCCTGCTAGAGGCTCTTAGGGAGGAGAAGTTGGGACAAGATTGGTCTGTGGCTTCCTGAGCAGCGGCTTCCTGGTGTGTCTGGGTAGGAAGACCTGGGTATTTCCAAATTTCCCCTCACAATGCACTTCAAGGTGGATGTGCTTTATAGAGGAAGCAGGCTTAGGAATGATAAGCTCTTGTGGCTCCCTGTACTCCTGTTTCCTCATCTGTAAAATGAGGATAATGAAGGCAACTCAGCTTTATACATAATTCATGTTTTGAAGATTCAGTGAATTAATATGCAAAATACATTTAGAAGAGAGCTTGATATTGAGGGTAGCTACTCTTAATTGCGAACTTGCCCAGGAGGACCCAGTTACTTAAATGTTGGAACCGGGATTCAATTTCAGTTCTGTCCATCCCTGTGCTGTAAGTGTAACTAGTCTGAATTGAGATGTGTCTTAAGTGTAAAATACACACCAGATTTCAGACAACATGAAGGAAAGAACATAACGTATCTCACTGATAATTTTTTTCTATTGATTACAAGTTGAAATATTGTATTTACATCCAAAAACAGCATGTTTTATAATTTTTTGGCACTCATTTAAATTTTGAGCCCATGGTAAGTGCCTCCCTCTCACCCCACCTGTGGTCCTGCTAGAGGCTCTTAGGGAGGAGAAGTTGGGACAAGATTGATCTGTGGCTTCCTGAGCAGAGGCTTCCTGGTGTGTCTGGGTAGTTGAAATGATAATATTTCGGATATATTGGGCTAAAAAAAACATTTATTTTGCCAGATTCCTTTTATTTATTTTTTCAAAGTGGCTACTAGAAAAATTTAAATGACACATGGCTCATGTCATATTTTTATGGTTCAGTGCTGGGCCTCCCCGGGTGCTGAACTGCTTGTTGACAGCCAGGTCAGGACTGATTCATCAATGGTCATTGCAGGCAGCTGCAGTCTGGCGCAACTGGATGCCTCCCCATTCCCCAAATACTTCTTCTCTTGTTCCTTTGCCTACACTTTTGCCCCGGGGTTCCTTTTCTGGCTCACCTTCCTTCTGGAGTCATCTCTTGTCCAGGGAAGCCTTCCCTGATGCCCCAGTCACACATGGAGCGTCTGGCCCTATTCTGCATGAATTGTGGCTGATTCTGCATGAGTCTCCTCTCCAACCAACTTTTCTCCAACTAACCAACATTTATATGGCATTTAAGTTTTACAAAACATTTTCACAGTCACAATCAAATGCAATCCATACTACTCTGGGATATAAGGGTTATG